CATGAGGCTTCAGCATGGCACTAGACTGGTGCCCAGAGGGGCCACTAGTTTAAGCATCAAATGCATGCCGGCCCCAAAGTAAGCACCACTTTTTTAAGTCAGGTAATGGCAAGCTCCAGCTGAGGATGGGAACCCTAGTTGTGAAAAACAATATTGTGCCCAGCTAATAATCATACACATCTAATAAATTGAAACATATATAAATGAGTCACATATATGAGCCTTCAAACAAAAGAGGCATTGAAAATATCTACACACAGACAAAAAAGCAATATAGGCAAAAAGAGTCCCAGGAAAAAACAAAAGCAAACAATGGTGATTGTGCAAAAAAAATCCTCAGATGATCCGCAGCCAATCTGCATGTAACTCTCAGGAAAGGATAATCACACAATACAGGCAGACCTTCACCTCCACCCAGTGAGTGATGATAACAAGTGAGTGCTCACCTGGGGAGGTAGACCCACAGAGCTAGGTCAAATGCGCCTTTTCCCTTCTTAATGGGGGAGGGAAGCCCATGCACAGAAAAGGCGATAAGGTCTCCCCAGATCACAGGTAACAGTATAAATCCAGGTAGAAAGAGAAAAAGGACAAGGACATAGTGCGTAATGTCCAATAAAATGTAATTTATTAAATAAAAAATGCGTACTCACAATGGTGTAAACAGTACAGGCATTGGGTATTGCTGGATCCTGCTGGGTATTGCTAGTTGTGCCACTTTTAAACCCATCTGTAGGTTGCCCCGATATTTCCTGCCCCCGCGGAGCACCCTCCACACCCTTTTTAACATATAGGCCTTTTTTTCCATGGGTCAAGCTAAAATGTTTGAACAAGAAGCAGCATTCATTGTAAGCATTTTAAATAAAAATCTGTTGACTTTAATACCACTTTAAGCCCTGTTGTGGGCTTACAAAACACTGCATTTTTGTGGACTGAATGGAGTGAGCCCTGCTAGTTTTCTTATTAGGTTTTTTTGTTAAACTACTCAACTACTCCCATTCTCAGATCTCTACATACATATATAAAAGCTATATGCAGCATTCTGTAGTCCAAGATAAGAACTGGTTGGGCTAAATAGCCTCTTTGAGATAATACCGGCTATACTTTAATATTACTACCATGGCAAGCTGCTCCGTCATATTGGCAATGATTAAACACTATATTACCAATGATTCTGTCTATTGCTAGGATATTGCAAAGGGGGAGATCATACTGTATATATGGTGTCTGTGTGGTTAGGGGGGATGCTGCTGCTTATATATAGCTGGTATGATGGAGGATGGTAGGGAACTGTCTATGTATATATTTATAGATCTATATAGATATATCCATATCTTATATGGGAGATTTGTATATAACTGCTAGATCACACAGAAAACTGTGGAATCTAAAAATGGAGAAATGATGAACCCTTGAATAATCTATATCTATAGCTAAAGTGAAAATACAGTGTATAATGGACCCACTTTTCTTGAAAGTACATTAGAGAATAAGAATACTCCAGCAAAATATTGAAATCCTCTCCAGCGTTAATTTAAGTTAAACTTCAAATCTTCCGAAACAGAAAAAGCTAAATGTTTCCAGTCTGTGTCATTATTTTGGCTTTTATCAGTTTGTATTTTAACTTATATACACTGCCGGGACCTTACATATAATCTATTTTAAAGGGACCCTATTATCACAAATATTTCTTCTACCTTATCCACACCCATATTAAAAATTGGAAAGAGACAATGTGGAGAAATTGTTTTTTTTTTAGGGACTTTGAACGACACTTCACAGGAGTGTTTATATATAAAATGTATACATTTTATTCAATATATGATTACAAAAAAAAGGAACAAATTGAATAATAAAAACCACAGTAGAAAACACCTCTAATCTCCACCAGTACCCTGAGACAAGATTGACATGATTGGTTAAGCTAAGTAATACAAAGATACAATTAGTTTGTAGGTTTCAACTCCTACAACTATGATTGACACAATTCAATTGATAGGTAATCTATAGCAATTCATCAAGTGGAGTGTTAGGTATGTACAAGATAATAACTCTATAAGTATTTGAAACCATCAGGTGAGTAGAGATGAATTCACTGTTTAGCCCACTAGGACTCTATCTGATTAGTTTAACATGATTTCCTTGAACTCCACCTGGTATTAATTCCTGTTTTGATTACGCCAACTGATGTGTCTCAACCGGTATAACATGATTCATACAAATCATAGAATAGATATGGTACATCATAATGCAAAAAGTATTTTTAGTGTAAGGATTCTTAGCTTGACCCAGGGAGTTTGAAATTCGTGGAAGATAACAACGCGTTTCGCGTAAAAAAAAGCTTCTTCAGGTCAAGAGGTGGTCTAAATTGAGAATTTTGAAAAAGTCATATAAATCATCTAATGAAGGTCTAATGAAAAGCAAGCAGTGATAATAAGTAATAATATGCTTCTGCTTAATATACAACAGTACATTCAAATGTCCAAGGTCTACAGTCAACAGGTACATTGCATGAAAAAACAGAAGGAAAGAAAACATTGATAATCGAAAGACAGAAAAAAGGAGAATACCATTCTTACTAATCCCCGATGAGGCCACCAGATGCCCCCATAGGGCAGTATTCTCCAGATTTTTGGGGTTAAACTTTCGCCCAGACAGTGGAATAAGTAAGGGCAACAGCGTCTAAACATGAGGAGGCCAATATAATAAATAAGAGTACCGTATCACAAACAGTTGAGAAATCTATAGGCAGCATGATCACCAAAGCAATATCAATCACTGCTCCCAGATACTTCCTCTCCTCCACAAGCAATTAGTACTTGTAGACAAAAATGAATATCGCATAGTATAAAGTAAACTTTATTTAAAAACGGTTATAAAGACTTACAATCATATACTAGATCTCAAATGTTTCCAATTACACATTCAGCCAGCCCAGTTCCCATCCTCTCACCAGTTCCTTCGCTTCCCTTCCGGGTAAGTCAGCCAGGGATAGTAACTGCTTGTAGAGGCACCGGTCGCTCAGCTGACGCGATGACCGCGTGTACACACCGACTCAACTGGGTTGTTTGCAATGAGGACTGGATCCGTCTAATTCCCCAAAATGCTTTGGTGATATCTGACATATTCATTCAAATAAACAACCTAGAATAACCAAAGAGGACCATTTTTTAAGAGGCACTCCTAACCACACAGGGTTTGAACGATCAAAAGCTCAACAAAAGCTCAACAAACTTCAACTATTTCAGTCTCAATTTCACTATTGATACCTGGCATTACTCTAACAGGAGTCTAGAAGGCCATTGAATAACTTAAAGAAGCCAACGTACCAGGCCTGCACTGGTTCCCAGCACTCTATTTCTAAGTTCTAAATTAATAGACCCCATTTCACCATCTAATAAATTTGTTCAATCAACTAAAAACTATCCTGATCCTACATTCTTCCTTACAATCGGCACATATTGTTATGATCAACAGACAAGGGAACAACCTGCTGGAAGAACCAGAGAGGTACAGGCCAGTACTGCTGCTTAAAATGGCACCGAGATACTGTATCCAACTCCTGCTAGCAGAATTAATGCATTCCTACATTCTCTGATCCATTAAGACTAGGTAGACTTTGTCCAGCGATGGCAAATGATAATTATAAAGTGATCTACTTAATGTAGCTGCACAACATCCATGGTCTGCTCCCCGGGCTAGGTATTCTCTAGGCATTTGTTTATATCTCTCAGTATTATCTAGAATACATTTTATGTCGATGGAGCTTTAAAAACAATTTCCATACCAGGAAACCCTTTATAACTAACTGCCTAGCGGCTAGAATAAAAATAGTCTGGCTACTTTTCTGATGGCTGTCCTATTTCTCCAGCTATCATTCATGTTAGCTATAGAACCCTTAGAACACCTTATCAGACTAAATCCCAGTGTAGAATTAACTGGTTGCATACCAGACTCCTTATTACTTTGTTTGCTTACTGACAGCATCTCACTTTCATTGTCCTAACCCCTTATATCCTTTAACAATGTGTTAGCTATCTATTGCAAATTGTTCATTGTCCAAGGACTCACTGGCAAAGAAGAAACATCAGTTGTACAAAACATCTTATTATCAGATGACTTTGTATCCGATCTCAAAGCAGTCATGATGTTTAGCTGGTCCACCTTCCCCATCCTGCCCTAATCTCAAAGTAAACGTGCACTTCAGAATTCTTTTGCATGTTTGCATGTTATCTGTTTCTTGTTGGTCTGTGCATCTATTACCATGATGCCTACTCAATTGTTTGCTTGGATGTCATATGTTGTTTATTTTTGAACATTGTTCTCAGTCTCTGTACTGTTAAAGCTGCACTCTGGTAAAACAGCTAAAAACATACACAAATGATTTGTGTTTCTGTCTGTTCAGTCCTGAGATTTACACAGCGCTGCCAGCTAGTATTTACAACTTGCTAAACTGAACTATTCTCTGCTCCAGTTAAGCAACACAGCCAGGTAACGTCCCTGACTCCAATCTGTAAATGGACAGTGAAGAAGCAACTACAGACTAATGAGGTCATCTCCCTACTATCTACTTTTGTCAGTATGTCCCCAAGCAGTGTCCTTCTCTCTCTTAGGCTCCATTCACATATAGCGTTTGCGTTTCCAGCACAGTTTTCCGTGCAGAAGAAAACTCTAATATTTTTAATCCGCACAAATGCTGCTCATTTGTGGCTATTAAATATCTGCGAACGTGCAGAATCCGCCGGATTATCGCGCTTGTACTATTTCGGGGGCCAGGCAATTTCGTACCACGCGGTCTGAACAATGCACATTAAAGTGCATTTTATTCTCTGTTTAGAGCGGCTCAGCCGCTCAGGTAGGACCGAAGCCTAAGTCTGTCGTACAGGGGGTATTTTAATAAATACATTTCTGCATGTATTCATTTTTTTAATAACTGCCTGAAGCTCAGCGTTTCATTGCATCACAAAAGATGGTGCCCCTAAAAATATTTTTTTCTTTTTCAGAAACCCCTGGCTCATCAAATAACATCTTCTGATCCATTTGGGGATCCATTTGGAAATCCGTTTGCTTAAGAATGTGTCTATACTGTTCGTTGTAAGTAGTTTTGTATTTCCCTACTCAGATCACTGACAAAAACAGAATTGCCTTCGTACATTTTGTTTTTTTCTAATGGACCACTAAACTAAAAAAAAAAGAAAAAGGACCAACATCTGGATTGGCTGAGCCAAAGCTCTGGCAGCTCGCTCACTGCCTTTCGCCCATATTCTCATAGGGGCCGAATGGCAGTGAGTGAATAACCGAATGCCGGCTCGGCTATTCTGCTCCGTAGCTCCGTGGTCCCGAACAGAATAGAAAAAAAGTGCAAACAATGTAAAAAAGAAAATTGCTAAATGATTTGAAGATTTTTATAAAATAGGAAGATTTAAAAAAAAGAAAAATATTTAAAGAAAAAGAAATTTAAAAAAACATTTGGGTGGAGCTAACAGTGACAGCTAGCTCCGCTCAAGTGTTTTCTATTGGTCGGCACCTGCTAGACTCTTCTAGCAGGTGCCGGCCAATGAATAACAACTGGCTCCGCCCTGCTGTCATTTGCCGGCGAATGGCCTGTGGCGTTCGGCCTTCGCTTCGGCTGTAACTACGGCTCAGTCCACCGGAAGCATATGCCTTCGGCTCGCCTGAGCCGCTCAGCCGCCTTTGGCTGCGGTTTGGGCTATTGTGAATAGCCCGTACAGCAGCTACCAGATACCACTGTATCCTTCGGCTCAATAGTGAATAACCCTCCTAGTGTTACTGTAGGTAGTATTATAAATTGTCCTCTTTCTGATTAAACTAAAATTACATTTTGATACAAGGCATGGAAGAGTTATTTTTAAAAGAAAATAAAGGCGAATTTTTGCGCATTATTTTATGCAACACTAAAAAAAATAGCAAACAGTATATGTGATAATGAAAAGAAAGAGTCATTTTTATTTTAGTTTTGGATAGCTTGTTTTAAAGAGTTGAAATGTTTTAAAATATTTCAGTCTGTGACAAGAGGGAGGGGGGCTGCATGCATCACTGGCACAAGAAAGCATGGACAGCAATTAAAACATTGTCAGATGTTCCAACCCTTCCTTACTGCTAACTCACAAGGTTTTTTTTACTTTACTATATGATTGCTTCTACTGATGTCATAGGCAGATTAAAGGCCGTCCCTTTACTTTGATCTACTGTACATATGAAAATAATGAACAATAGTGACGGGATACAAGGAGGAATTTTTTTAGAGCCCAAGGCCCAGAAGTAGTTATGGCATAACTTACTATTTTTACTACTACTTTTAAAAATTGTAAGCTAGAGATGTTTAGCAAAAGAGACATGCACAGTCTCTTTTGCCAAAAAACCTTTGCCCAGTGCTCCCTACAATATTATATTAACACTGCACGGTACATGCATTGTGCAGTGTACAGCCCGAAGAATAAAGTTGGGTGCTGGGGATAATGTAACCATGTGCACATGTGCAAGAGTTACATCATCAGTGGCCATCCAGTGGCGAAAAAGGAAAGCTGTGGGACCCAGAAGAAGTGGCGGAGGAGATGGCAGCATTGTCAGACAGAGCAGCAATTGGAGCCTGGACCTGTCACCGCTGGTGGTGTGTCATTATGGTGAGAGCCCACTTCCGTTCTGCAGAATGTAGATCCATTTTATTTAATAATAAAAATGATATAAAGATATTGAAAGATCAGTAAGCCTTTGTATAATAATGCCGTCTAATTATGCAATGTGATTGTAAGTATATAAGCTTAAATAACAATACACATTCTATGAAACTGAAAATGTGTTTCTTTTCTTGTTACAGCTATGCACAAAGCAGGAAACAACTGAACTCTGAAAACTCCAGGGGGCCCCATTTCATCACTTTGTCTTTATGACATTAATCAAAATGTTTGCACTGAATACAGAAATATTTCATTTTAGTAGATCTTTTCCATAATTTCCTTATAATAGGCCACAAGGGAATCTAAAAGTTCGAGTTGTGTATGTGGAAGGCAGACTGTCATATATTCATTTGCCTCAGAAGTGTAATTAGGGGAGGGCGAAGGTCCAACCACCCAGGGAGCAGAGAAGAAATGGTGTGCAATATTACATTTTAGAAAACCTGTGAGGTATGTGTTTGACAATTCAACTAAAGGCCAACATCTAATATATTGCAGATGCTGGCAAGTTCACATGCTTATATCTCTCAGTGACTCCAGTGCAGAGAAAATGCTGACCATAATTCCCGGGTTCCATGTAACTTCCAAAACACTTACAAAGCGATGGTGTTGGCCCCACTGCTAATTTTTCCATTTTGTAGAATAGAGCCCAGCTGCAGGAAAATGACACTTTTATTTTGTCCTGGTGGGCGGAAGCAGAGACATATACTATTGCAGGGAAGTCTCACCACTGGAGTCTTCAAAATATATCAAGCCAGTGACAGATTCAACACATTGACACTCAACCAGTGCTAAAATAATATGGAGTTGGCCTGGACACTGTGGCTGTAGACACTATATAGCAGCCAACAATCATTCAAAACCTTTGTAAACATGTACACTTGTATGTGTAGGGCATGCATATTTCTGAAATGAGCAGACACAGTGCTAGCCTCATATTGGAGGAACATTGTGATTGCATGGGAAAATACAAGTCAGACAAATGTCTTTCTCCTCCAAGACTGGAAGACCAGGGTAGTGTCTACTCAGAAGCACTGTCCATTTCTGGGAAGACCTTTGGGTTCTTGCAGCTATTATATTTTAACCAAACTCAGAAAAAAGTTGCAGCTTGAAATGTCCTAAAAGGAAATTGCACACAAATCCTCAGTTACACCTTTTCTCATAGAAATGGAAAGTGGATCCCCCTCTTCCCACTTTATAGTTTATTCAGGACCAGAACTAGCATTCCCAGACTTCCTTGCTACAGCACTGCTGGTGGGAAGTGGCCTTACAAACTTATACTAATGTACTGCTTACTGCAGCATCCTAGAGCTACAAATAAGAGTGAGGTCAGTGAAAGACCAATTTTGTTTGACAGTCATGTTTTTTTCCATTATGCTGAAGCAGTGAGTAAACTTTAGAACAACTTTTTCTGGAAGTTTCCTTCCCCTTTTAACCCCCTTGCTCAACTAAGCTCATCTATCCACACCACTCTCCCTCTTCACAGTTCCATACTTACCTAGTCCTTGTGCCACCACCACATGCCATGTTTGTCCTGTGACAGGCCTCTTGTTCTCAATGTCCACACATTTACAGTAAAACCAATAGAATTCTATGGGGGTTGTCTATTAGCCCCATCTTCTTTTGGGTTCTACTGCACACATGCAGGGAGCAGAAAGAAGAGGCCCCACCAGCTGGAAGTAAACATCCTGCGGGACTCAGTGCGAGAACTAGATAACTATAGTTATGTGAAGAGGGAGTGTGGGGTAGATGAACTCAGTGGGGTGGGGGAAAATCCCTTACCCTTTAATGCTCTTTGACCTATCGAACAACCTTGACAGAGTGTCATTTCTGAAATAGCTGACTGAAACTAACCATTAGTGGGCACAAAACTTAATGTTATCTCAACCATTTCATAAATCGCACAATATGATCACAATAAAAGCACTACGTTCTGGGGAATCCGGAAAATTGTGAGGTGACTTGCTATTGGGCTTTGTTGACCAAGCAGAGAAAACTTCAAAACACACATTATCCTCTATTGAAAGGTCATCCAACAGCCTTTGGACTGTAATAAAATCTTAATTCATGGGTCTGATAGTTGTTACTTGCCTACAGATCAGAAACCTTTATCTTAATTAAGTTAAAGTCTTCATTTACATAACTTGTGAGTGGGAGGGGTAATCCAGTCTAATCCAAGCTTCAATTTTGGAGATATATGTAAAAAGACAAAGTCAAATGCTGGACAAACCTTAGTTGCTAACCTAGTAATCAGCAGATATTAACAGTTTCATTTTTTTTCAGTGCCTTTGCATGATGAAAGTTTTCAAGCATGCCCAATACATACACCATGGTTGCAGCCCACATAGGTTCTCTAGAACCCTGTGCCATCACTGGATCATCTCAGATCATGATCTTTGGCCTGTCACCTTACTGGCTGCTACTGATTTGAAAGGCTTCTCTCATTGGCATGTTGTTTAACCCCACAATATGGCTTCCTCTACTGTAGATAATGGAAAACTATGACCAGTGACATTTATGGTATTATACACTTAACACAATGCCTAGTTTATGTAATTGGGTATATCATGGAAGCTTCATACATCCCCTTCTGCTCAATTCCAGGTTGATAAGTCAAAGCACACTGTCTGCATGTTTACCTACACCTGTTTTTAGGAGTTGATCAAGAAAGAAGAAATATGATTGATTTCTATTTTAATTTCACACCGCCATTTCACATTGTACTATAATAATAAATAATCCCCCTTATGTGTTTTATGTTACACGATAGTGATGATATTGATCTCACCCATGTTTGTTTTCAGGTTAACTTCCCCACATAAAATGTGTAACAGGGCTATGGCAGGTTTCCATGGGCCCTGGTACAACATAGATCTATGGGAAACGTTTTAATCTTGCCACTTCTACTCAACTTCACCTACTGTTCTGCAAAGTAAGGGGGCGAAGTAGTGGCTCTGTAGAAGAACAGACCCCATTTCTAGAGACATTGCTCTTAAAGTGTATGTAAAGCCAAAACTTTAAGTTTTTTCAGGTGGAAGAGTTAAAAACCATCTTCTACAGTTGTCACTGTAACTGGTTTTCCCCCTGGAAGACAACTTCTAGACTACTTCTTGTTCTAGTGAAAATGGTAAAATGTGGGATTTTACCTTACTTTCTGTATTGGTGACAATGGCTGCCAGAACAAACAGTAAGGACACTCCCTAACGGGGGCACACACAGCAATGCAACCTGAAAGATAGTCTATCCCTTCACCAATCCAAAACTAGAAAAAGTTATGCCTTTACATACACTTTAAGGAGAGGAAGCATAAAAGAGATTCTTGTTGTGGTTTTATACATAGTTCACGAGGCACGTCCTATAGGTTTTAATTGTATGACTGATCCCCTTTAAAGAAACATGTAACTGAGACATGCATGGAAATTGTTATATTCAGTACAGCAAAGTGTAAGGTTCCGCTAACCATTCAGCCAGTACAAGAATGCATACATCTATGACCTACCTACAATAAATCGCTTGCTGTGGGGTCACTGCACTTTGCAAATCATCACTGCTCACCGCTGTTTGCCTTATTAACCAAGTCTTTTTATGTGGTCACTCTCCCATTGCAAGTAGATGGAAGTAAAACAAAAGTCCTGGAAGAAGTATTTGCTTATTTCCAACATTTGTGCAATATCACCAATAAACAAATTTGCTCACCACCCGACAGCCTTTCTGGATTCTGCTGAGATGTGGACTCTATTGTTGCATACCTCTGGGACTGTGGGATCTATTTTCTTACATCAATGGAATTTTTAAGCTAAAGGACCTTAATGATCAAATTGTATAGCTGGTTGAATTCTAAAATCATCAATGGACTTAGAACATCCTAGGTTCGTTTTCACAATGACTTCAATCATTTCTATTACAACCAAACACAGTAAAGACGATTTTTAGGGAATATTTTTAGAATTTTTTTTGGTAGTTGATCTGGTATCAGCTTGGAAAGAAGCTGAAGAAGCATCTTTTTCATGACATAATTAATAGTCTGGCCTCAATACTTTTCAGTATGAACTTAAACTATGAAATGGTGTATAAGTAAATCATATATATGTATTGCTAAACTGGAAACCTTTTAAGTATGAAAGTGATTTGTCAAGCAGGTCCTGCGTGATATTCTTCATATACCTATATTATCAATGCACTTTTTATTTTGTAAAGGAAAACAATCTATAATGTTTAATTGCATTTTTTTTCAATTAAACTCGGTATGTAATAGACTTTAAAATCTTACTTTGTTCTTTGCTCTGTCTGTACAAACTCAAATTGTGTTCCTTATATAATGTTATATTAAAATATATTATTCAATATGCTATTTTCTTTCTGTTTGGTTTAGAAAGTGTCATTCAAATTCTACCTATACTGAATTGAAAATTTGAAGTGTAGGTATAGCCTGTTTGGTAGAAGTAGATTTCCTTTCACTTCCTGTCCTGGACACGCAACACAAAGTAAACACACGCAACACAACACAAATAGAGGGGTTTATTTCCCCAGGAGGAACACAAAGTTAGTGCAGTCTAACCCTTCCCTACTCTATGCAAAATGTAAAAAAAAGTATTTACATGCACTTAAATGAGCTTTACCAGGTGACAAGAGGGGAAAAAACTATGAGGTTCACGATATAGCCAAAGTATCTCTATGTTTGTAGTTATAAACAGCTTCCACTCTTCTTGGAAGGCTTTCCACAAGATTTTGAAGTTTGTCTGTGGGAATCTGTGTCCATGTAGCTAAAAGAGCATTTGTGAGGTCAGGTACTTATGTTGTATGAGAAGACCTGGCTTGCAATTGGCTTTTATCCCAAAGATATTCAATGAAGTGAGAGATCTGTGGAGGCCACATGAGTTCCTCCATACAAGACTCATCAAACCATGCCTTTGTGGAGTTGCAGCATAAAATAGGCTTCACCAAACTGTTACCACATGGCTGGAAGTACACAATTATCTAAAATGTTTTTGTACTGTTTGCTGTAGCATTAACAGTATAATTCACTGAAAACACCTGAACTGAATAATTTGGGGAATAGTCCACATACCTTTGACTTCATATTAGGTGTGATGGTCAGGTGTCCACAAAACATTGGCCATATAGTGTACTAATACTAAAGAAATCGACAATTACTTGCAGGCTCACTATACCTTCAGATGACCTAAAAATCCCCAAACCCACACACACTATTTGGCAGTTATTCATCACACAACTTTTTGACAAATAACTGTCCCAACTTTGTGCCTTCCTGTTGGTTGCCAAATGTTGAGAGCCTTACTGGCTTATAGAAAGTAATGGGCATGGGAGAAGGATGGACCCTCTATCATTAAAGTAAAAGTATGGTCAATTTTGACCAATAGGGTGCCAGGTTTTTGGAGATGCTAGGGGTAAGCTGTGCCAGCAAACAGGCACCAGAAAGTTTCCTGCTTTATAAATGTTTTGCTAAGGCAAACCCACAGGTTTCCTTTAATTAGATCTGTCTGCAGTCCACTGCAGTCAGACTTACCTCTACCAGAACACAAAACAGGTTCACTGGGAGTGTCCTTCCTAAAGTTTGTGCTGTGTAACTTCCTCCCTTTCTCTGTTTCCTGCATCATCACTGTTCCAAGGCAGGTTTTAACCCGAATGTTGGCCGTAGGAAACTTCTTTGCACTAACATCATTTTACATTGGGTGTACATTATTTGAGAGATAGCAAGAAGTCTGCAGTAGGTAATGTTTCCTGCATCACCTGCTGGTGTTCTCAAATACCCGGATCATTGAGAAAATAAAACAACTGGAGCACTACAGCAAATCACCAATGGAATATTAAACAGTAGAGCTGGTAAGCTGCAAATATTTTAAGGTTCAATTTGTAATTGTGATTGTTTTAGATTAGTGTGCATCTTATCAACTGACCCAGGAGTTACAAAATAGGTACCAAAAAAGTCTGTATTATGTGTGTTTTGGGTATGTGTGAAAAATCTGAAACTGACCTCGGCCATATGGGATAGATATTGTGAGTAGATATTGTGAGTTTGACTATTGAACCAAGTGGAACAGTTACTGATATGATATAGATGTCAAAACGTAAACATCACTTCGGCTGGACAGTCATGTTAAGGATTTGGGAACCAGGGAGCTGAACACACACACACACAGTTACCATACAAATTAAAACACAAGATGGTAAGGATTGACCTGCCCGTTAGCTATAGCTGAAGTACGGGTCAGGTTAAAAGCTTCCAAAATAATAGCAATGCCCTAATTATTTAAGCTTTAATAACACTTAAAGAGACTCTGGGGTTGATTCACTGAAGGCAAATAGGCTATTCATTTTGCAATTACATTTTCCTTTTAATAGGGAAATAATGGTATATATTTCCTGTTCCTGCTTAGCAGAGTTTATGCTGTATAGCATAATTTTGTGTAGTGTTTCTTGTTTTTTTTGTCTTTTTTTATTATGATGTTCTTTTTTTTTTTGTTTGGGTTGTTTTGTTAAGACACCAAGATTTTTAAAAAAGACATTGGAGGTACCACTATATCACCTTTTACAACATTTTACTATGCATTATCTCATTCCACCTCCGAAATGGCATCTACCGAATTTTGTATAATATCGCATAACGTGCAGGGACTAAACTCCCCACAGAAGCGAAGAGCTGCATTTAACTATTTTTCATCATATCCGGCAAATATAATATGTCTACAGGAAACAAAACTTTCTAACTCTTTTAACCAAAAATATATGCATAAAATATCCC